GGATAAATTAAGGCTGGGAGTGCTTTAGATGAACATTTGGAGGAGGATCTCTGCTTTTGGGCAGCCAATAAGAAAGCTGGATAATTGTAAGTGTCTAAATTATGCGTAGCCATAGGCCATTTGAGCCTGGGGGGGGCAGGGCACAAGCTAGAGGGCAAGCCATAGGGGAAGCTTGGACGAGTTATTCTTGTACCTCTACTCATGGTGAAACCCAGGAGACCCTCCCCTGCCCTCCCACCCCACCCCTTTGAGATCTTTACCCGCAGAGGAAAGATCTGAACACCATGAGGTTTCTGTGCAAAATTCATTTACTGACACCCAAGCTGTGCACACACAAGTGCTCTTCATAAAGTCAGGGGAGAGGGGGAATAAAGGTATTCAACTGAAGGCTTCAACAACCAGCTCCTCTCTGAACTAGGAAAAGCTGGGGGGGGGGACACTAGCCCCTCAAGAAGGCTTAACATAAGAGATTGGGTGTATATATATTTATATATTTTTTCTTGCCGAATCCCCCAGTTGTGGCTTAGGTTTGGGAAGTGGGGTGGGTACAGGTGGAGTTGGGCGTCTCTGTGCAGAGATGAGCAAGTTGTGCAACCTGTGGACAAGAGGAAACGTGTGGGTAAGAGGGGGTCAGGATTCCTTCAGGGTGGGAAAAGCCAAAGATTCAATGTACAAGATGATATGGAGGGTCGCACCTGGGTTCTATATCCCATACCTCAATTTCTGTACCACATCTCTGGGGCTGTCCACCCCCCACCCCCCCAACCCCAGGGCCAGAAGCTGGGGAGAAAGACCCTCCTCACGCCCTTTTGAGGGCAGGATCTCTCCCCTCACTGCCTGTTGCAAGAGACAGGCCTGCACATTTGTGCCAGGCCTTAGTAGGTAAGGGCGAGATGGAACTCCGCCCACCCCCCACTCAGTAAAGTTGGCTTCAACAGGCAGAGGCTGATGGAGCATAGGGCAAAAAAGGAACAGATATCAAACGTGGGCCCCAAAGGACAGATCTGTGGGCAAAGGAAAAGAAGAACCCAGGAGTCCCAATCATTTCCTCCTCGCTACTCCCCCAGAGTAGCCCAACATACACCATTATTGGGCTGGTGCCTTTCAAGATTGTGAATCAACTTCTGAGCAGTTGGACTCAGCTAATGGCTGGGCTACCAAGACCATCTTTTGGTGGCCAGCTGGCTTGATTGGTTTGAAACCCAGCCACACGTGCCTTGTTCAGCCTCTCCACCCCCAACCACCCGCATCCTTACCAGATCATGGCTCTTAACATCCCCTCGCCAAGCCCTCATGCCAGCAGGGCTGGAGCAGGTTCTCCCCCTGGTTCAGGAGTCGAAGTCTGCGAAGAAAAGAAGTAGTGATCAATCCAACACTTATCGCTGGGCTTCCTCTGCCATGGTGGGAAGAGTTGGCCATTGGTGCCCTCTGGAGGCAACAGAACCCTGCTGCAGGACTCTCAGACTGTGGGGGTGAGCAAACAGGGGGGCTATAATCCTCCACACTGCCCAATTTCAAGCCAACGATGTTGGGAGGTCTGTGATACGAAGCAAGGGAGTTCCCGATTGGCTGAGAAGAGTCTCACATAGGGCGAGGTTCTCTCTTCCAGGGTGAGGTCCTCACCTGCTCCTTTCTAGGAAGGACCTGGCATGGACACCACATGCTGCAAGACAGTTATGGGTCCTGGCCCCACATCCCACCCTAATCCAGGCCCTCACATCCACAAGCTGGTGCTGAGCCTCTGGCAGTGGCTGGGTGGGACTCTCCGGAGTCGGGGTCATTGGCTTGCTGGCTTGCATCCCTGGTTCCTGAGGGGCAGCTGGGGTCCCAGCAACAGTGGTATCTCCGCCAGCGGCAACAGAACTCAAAGCAGGTTCATCTCTGGTGGTGGTGGTTGGCTGGAAGGTTAAGAACGAAAGAGATCATATGGGAGAGTTTTTGGAATGAGGGAGATGCTCGTTTCTAACTTCAAGGGACTCGAGCCAACCATGGATGGCTTCTGTCCTCCATCTTGCTTGAGAGGAAAGAAAGGGATGGGGAGATAAGAGTTCTATCCCTGTGGTAGCTCATAAACCCTGGAGGCCTTTTGGCAGGTCTTCAACAAGCTCAAACAGAGTACACTCAAAGCCGTAAGGGCTATGCCACATGTGTGATGCCTGTTTATAGCTCCTCAATGCTGGCTAACCCCAAGCACAGAGGTCAATGATTTCTGGAGGCACCTAGATGACCTCCAGTGTGGTCCATTCCAGTCTTATAGTTAGGGGGGAGTGCAGCAGTTTTCTTGAAGAGGGAAACACGACATGTTAAGGTCTAGACTAGCAAAAAAGGGCTGAAAATAGGCTCAATCTTTGCTGACATAGGTGAAACAGTGCCTAGAGAAGGGGTGGCTTCCCAAATGCTGTCTGATCTCAATCCAAGAACTTGAGCCAAGGAGACGGACCTTTGAGTCAACCCAGCTCCATAGGCAGCCTGTGGGTGATCTTTTCCAGCCTGCAATCTGCAGAGATTTGAGGGTGTTTTGTTTGTTTGGGGGTTTTTTTGGGTTTTTGTTTGGTTTTTTTGTTTTTTTACAATCCCAGAAGCAAGAGAATGAGGTGAAGTCATCTGGGTGCTGGGAGGAGGAACCTGCCGCCACTCCCTGCAGCATGTTGGTTCAGGACTGATTCAAGGGAAGTGAGTCAGGCTGAGTCACGCACAGCAGATATTTCTTGATGGCCAGCCCCTGGAGTGGGGACAAGAAGCCAAATTGGGTGACCTTCCTCCATCCAAAAGCCTGGCTGAAGCCAGGGAGTAGGAAGTTACCTTAACTGCAGTGCCAGTACCTCCAGTCAGGGGCCAAGACTTTGACTGGGCATTTGGAGACCAGACCACCCCCATCACAACATCATAAGAGCTTGAGTAATAATTTATAGTTTCACAGATGCTAGGATCGGAAGGGACCTCAACAGATCGAGTCCAACCCTCCTGCCTGGGCAGGAAAGAGCACTGAGGTCAGATGACCCCAGTCAGATGCCTATCCAGCCTTCTCTTAAAGACCCAAGGTAGGGGAGAGCACCACCTCCCTTGGAAGCCCATGCCAAAGTGTGGCCACCCTTACTGTGAAGAAGTTTTTCTTGATGTCTAGCCTAAATCTACTCTGTCAATTTGCGACCATTGTTCCTTGTTACCCTAAGAGGCACCCTGGTGAACAGAGCATCTCCAATACCTTGCTGTGCCCCCCCCCCCCACTTATGAATTTGTAGGTGGCCACAAGATCACCTCAGCCTGATCTTGTGGAGGCTGCAAAGTTCCAGGTTCCTTAGTTTCTCCTCATAGGGCTTTAATTCACTCTTTACAGGTCAGATCAGATAGTGATGGGCCCTTTCTGCCTATGCAACCTGAGCTCTGCTCTTTCTCCAAGTATCTCATGGTAATATCTGGCACACCCAGACCCAATCTTCATTTGACCCTCCCCTATCTGGTCGAGCCAAAACCTCTATGTTTCATGGGGAGAGAGGCAGGGCTTAAAAGTTCAGTGTTGAGATACCCATGGAGGGTAGTGCTGGTAGCCCCCATTTTATACGTGAAAGGGAACATGAGGGCAGAGGGTGGGATTTGATCGCCATCCTCAGATCCCTGAAGGGCAACAGTAGAGAGGATGGAGACTGACTTTTCAGTGGCCACTAGGACCTAGGAACACAGTGGCCTCAAGCTACAGCAGGGGAAACTGAGGCTGGAGATGAGGAGGAATTTCCTGACAGCTTAGAAAAGAAGTTGTGGAGCTTCCAACCATGGAAGCATCTAATAGCTTGGTTGGGATGGTTTAGACAGGGCTGATGCTGCCTTTTGCTGGGCTGCACCAGGGGACTTCATGGAGGTCCCTTCCAGCCTCACTATGATCCCAGAGCTAGGGCAAGATCCTGCAGAAGTCCATAGCACAAGAGGGGCTCAAAGCCAAGTCTCTCCAGCTAGTGTTCTATGGATTGCCCACATTATAGGAACAGGGGGAAGGCTCCCTACACCCACCACCGGCCCCCCACTGTAGCTCTCACCTCTGCCACAGCAAGCCGGGTAGCACCAGTCTGCTGGCGTCGGCGCTGGAAGTAAGGCCGGTTGCGCTGACGCTGGGGCTCAGGGCGGATGCCATCTGCTGGCGTCGGAACCACCTTGGTCTCACCATCGCCTCCTTCTGTGGTGGGTTGCTGAGGCGGGCGGGGGCGGAAGGGCCTGGTTTAGGGGGGGGGAAAAAAAAAAAAAAAAAAAAGACAGGACAGTCTTCAGCTCCGCTATGTGATCCAACCCAGTCCAGCCAGAATCCAGGATAACTTTCTCTGGTTGATGTACCCTGAAAAAGACCCATAGACATCTCTGGGAGGTGGCCAAGGATAAAGAAATCTGACTCAATGATATCACAATTCCTCTGCACACAAAAAGAGGCTGGAACATTCCTGTGAGGATGGAGTCTGACACATGGCATCGCCCACTAGAGAGAACACACACACACACACACACACACACACACACACACACACACACTTGACTCAATTGCTACTTTCCTAGTAAACTGGTGTACAGCTAGGATGAAAGTGCTTTGTCTTGTATGTCTCTGGAGAAGATCAAAGCCCCCATGGGAACTATGGAGCATGGGAGTGAGGGGCACCCCCCCCACCCTAGTCAGAGCCTCCTAGACACTTGGAATACTGGAGGCTGCAAGGGGAGGAGAGGAGCAGTTGGGGGAAAGGGGTTCCTTCTCCCTTTCAGCATTGCCGACACAGGAGACTGGGCAAGACTGACTTAGTCAGTGGCTGGTTTAATATATAAACTGGAAGTATTGGGAACTTGAAGGCCTTGGGAGGTTGTGGGATCTTCATCCTTGGAGGTTTTCAAGACCTGGCTAGACAAAGCTTTGGCTGGGATAATCTAGTTGGGGCTGGTCCTACTTGGACTAGTTGCAAGCTCCTGAGGTCCCTTAGTTTTCTACGATTCTATGAAAGGCTAATGGCATCTTGGGCTGCACAAGTCAGAGCGTTGCCAGCAGATCCTGGTCCTCCTGCTAAACAATGACTACAACCTCACAGGGATACTGGAGACCTGGTGGGACTCCACCTATGACTGGGCCACAGATATAGATGGCTATACCCTGTATAGGCGTGATTGTGAAGATAAAAGGGGTGGGGGTGTAGCTCTCCATGTCAAGGACAGTTACACATCCCTCCAAATTGACATTGGCACCCAGGAAGGACAACTGGAGTCTCTCTGGGTCAAAATAGGTGGGGAACATAGCTCAAGGGACATCATGGTAGGAGTCTACTACAGACCTCCTAATGAGGAACAAGAGCTGGATCAGGAATACGCCAGGGAACTGGCTGAGGCTGCACACTTTCAGTTCATGGTTGTCATGGGAGACTTCAACTACCTGGATGTCTCATGGGAAGAGCACTCCGCCAAATCTGATCAGTTGCAAAGCTTCCTCACATGCGTCAACGAGCTCTACCTGACTCAAGAAGAGTATGGGCCAATGACAGGTAAAGCGTTGTTGGACCTGGTACTGGCCAAAGGGGATTTCTTAGGTCACTGACTATGTATCGATGTAAAGCTGGGGAATGGCAACCACGAGCTAATCATCATTACTATCCATTGCAAAGCTGGCAAGTCAGTCAGCAATACTGAAGTCCTCAACTTCAGGAAAGCCGACTTTGACAAGCTCAGGAGGCTCACTGTCAGGGCTCTAAGGGACCACGACTCAACTGGAAGAGGAGTCCAAGAGTGGTTGCTCCTCAAGGGAGTGATCCTGCAAGCACAGGGGATGGCCAGCCCATCTCAGAGGAAGGGTAGCAAAAGGGTGCAGCAACCCCCTTGGCTCAGAAGGGAACTTGAGGACCTCGTACACCTCAAAAGAGATTTATAAAAGAATGTAAGGCTGAAATTACTACCAAGGAGTACTCAGCACTGGTCCGTACCTCCAGGGAGCGGATCAGGAAAGCGAAGGCTGCAACCAAGCTCTATCTGGCTTCACATATCAAGGATAACAAAAAGTCTTTTTTCAGATATGTAGGGAGTGAGAAAAAAGCAAGGGTAACATTGAACCCCTGCTGATCCTGGGAATTACAGGCCAATCAGCTTGACCTCAATCCCTGGTAAGATTCTGCTTCGTCAGTCTTTCATCAGTCCAATGGGACTGCCCTGCCTAGCAAGATGAGGGATGGCCAGGGTGAGGGCATATTTATACCCAGCATCAGTGTTGATCTAGTAAAGGATCACCTTGAAAGGCTGGACACTTTCAAGTCAGCTGGTCCTGACAGATTACACCCTAGGGTACACTCAAGGAGCTGGGAGGTGTCACAGCCCAACCATTGCCAAAAATATTCAAAAATTTATGGCATTCAGGTGAAGTACCTGAAGACTGGAAGAACACCAATGTGGTACCCATCTTCAAGAAAGGGCAGATCCCAGGAATTACAGACCAATCAGCTGGACCTCAATCCCTGGTAAGAGAGTCTCAAGAAAATTATCCAGGAGACCCTTCTGAATAAGCTGGCTGAGGGCAACATTCTGAGGGATAGCCAGCATGGTTTCCTCATGCGTAGGTCTTGCCTGACCAATCTCATCTCCTCCTATGACCAGGTGACTAATCACCTGGACAAGGGAGAAGAGATTGATGTCATATACCTGGACTTTAGAAAAGCCTTTGATCTGGTGTCCCATGACCTCCTCATAGAAAATTTGGCCACCTGTGGCCTCAGCTACACCACAGTCCGATGGCTGGGAAACTGGCTCTGAGGTCAGACCCAGAGAGTAGTGGTCAATGACAGCGAGTCATTATGGCACTCCATGACCAGTGGCATCCCCCAAGGCTCTGTCCTTGGACCAGTTCTCTTCAACATGTTGAACAACAATGTAGACATTGGTGTCAGAAGTGCACTGGCTAAGTTTGCTGATGACACTAAACTTTGGGGCATAGTATCCACACCTGAGGACAGGGTAGTGATCCAGGCCGACTTGGACAAGCTTAGTAAGTGGCCGGACACAAACCTAATGATGTTCAATACCAATAAATGCAAGGTACTCCACCTCAGGGTGGGGGTGGACAACCTGCAGCATACTTATAGGCTCAGCAGTGCTACGCTTGCTAGCACCACGGCTGAAAGAGACTTGGGGGTCATGACTGACCACAAGATGAACATGAGTCACCAATGAAATGTCACAGCTGGTAAAGCAAACAAAATCCTGGCTTGCATCTATAGATGCTTCTCAAGTAAGTCTCAGGATGTCATCCTCCTGCTGTATTTGGCCTTGGTAAGGCCGCAGCTGGAGTACTGCATCCAATTCTGGGCTCCGCAATTCAAGAACAAGGTGGAGAACCTTGAGACAGTCTAAAGAGCTGCATGCATGATCAGAGGGCAACAGAACAGGCCTTAGAGAGAGGCTGAGAGCCATGGGACTCTTCAGTCTGGAAAAGCGCAGGCTCAGGGGGGACCTGGTGGCTGCCTACAAGTACACAAGGAGTGTTCGTCAAGATCTGGGAGAACGCTTGTTCACAAGTGCCCCAAGGAAAAACAAGGACCAGCAGTCAAACTCCTACAAGACCATTTTAGCCTGGACACAAGAAAAAAATTCTTTACTGTCCAAGCCCCCAGGACCTGGAATAGACTTTCTCCAGATGTGGTGCGGGCACCTACTCTGGACTCATTAAGGAAGGCTTGGATGCTTATCTTGCTAGGGTCCTTTGACCCTAACTGACTTTCTGCCCCTGGGGCAGGGGGCTGGACTTGATGATCTTCGAAGTCCCTTCCAGCCCTAATGTCTATGAAATCTAAGATGGAAGGGAGTGATTCTTCCCCTTTGTTCTGCATTAGGGAGGCCACATCTGAAGTCCTGTGGCCAGTTGCATGGGCAACTGGTGCCTCCCAAGCTTGGGGGGCTCACCAGATTGCTGATGGAGTGTGGGAGGTCCCCCCATCAGCCAATTGCCAACCAGCTGGGTCTCTCGGTGGCTGATCACAGAGCCAGCAGCAAAGCCAGAAGTGCACTTCTGTTTTCACAGGGGGTGCACAGCCAATCCCAGGGGGTGGGGGGTAGGCTCCACACACAGACACACACAGACACAGGCCCAGGATGGATGAGAAGAGAAGACAAGGGGTGGGGGATTGAATAGCAGCAGTCACTCCGCTGAAGGGTGGCTCCAAAGAGTATGAAGCTGTTCTCAGATGGCAAAGCAAGGACCAACGGGCTGGACCGAGATGGACTGTTCCCTGACAGCACAGCAAGGAGCTCAAACTGCAGCAGGGGAAGTTGAGGTTAGCTATGAGTAAGAACTCTCTCATGAAGAGGGTAGGAAGCACTGGAACAGGCTACCCAGAGAGGTGGTGGAGTCTCCATCCTTGGAGGTTTTGAAGACCCAGGTGGACAAAGCCTTGGCTGGGATGACCTAGTGAGGTTGATCCTGCTTGGAGCAAGAGGTTAGACTAGATGTGACCTCCTGAGGTACCTTCCAATGCTCATTGTTCTACAATTTTGGGCTAATCTGAATGCAGAGAATCCACTGGAGTCTCTCCATGAGCTGGAGATGGTCTTTTTTCCCACCCCAATCCCCTGCTTTAAAAGCTCAGGGGGACCAGAGCACTTCTAGTCTTTGGCCATGCCTTCACGCAGAAGTATGGTGCCCCTCCTAGTAGCAATAGATGCTCTTATAATAGAAGGAAAAAGAGAAGCATTAACAACAGAAAGGGATTACCATATTGTCTCACATACAACACACCTCCAAATAAAACTCTATATGCGCCTCACAATTGGAAAGAGGAATGTACAGAAAGAAAGATTTCCACAGATTCATGACCAACAGAGACAAGATTTAGTCCTCCTGGGAAGAGAGCATCCAGGAAGTGTGGTACCCTCTCCTGGGTTGCCCCATTTCCTGGGCACTATGTTCCCAGGAGGAACAACTCCATGTCACACAAGGTTAGGTTACAGACCCTTCCAAAAGCAATAACAAAACTTGGTTCGTTACTCATCATTAAGTGTTGTTCCCACACCACTAACCTCCTCAAGGTACTGCTAGCAGCTCACTCGCTGCCTCAGATACAAGCTACAGGGCTCAGCCAATAGCTACGGCAGCAAGAGACTTAACACAGTGCATCACCATCCTGGCAGCTGCATGGCACCCATGGTGTCTCCGTGCTTCTACTCCCTTGAAGGAAGTGCCTTTCCTGCTTGGAAAACTCCCATCCCAATTTGGAGGGGTGGATGGCAGGGGAAAAAAAAAGAGGTGCATGTTGCATGTACTAAATACTGGACATCCTAGGTCAGGACATTTAGGCCCAGCTCGTGTAACGGGAGTTAAAAATCCACCAGTGCTGGAGCTGCTTTAGCTCAGTCTCCCCTAGTTTTTTTTTTTTTTAAATGGAATTTCAGCCCAGCAAAAACAATGCCTTGATGCAGAGAGAGAGAGAACCACAGCCAGTGGCAGATGTACAGCTCCTTATACAGCCCCTGATAATAGCCAATGACCTCCTACAGATACTTGTGCACTCCTGAGGTCATTAATACAAGAGGCTGATATAACAGTCACTTTTGCTTTAAAGTCGGGCTCCCTCGCCACCGCCGGCTCGATTCTAGTGACCTCCTGAACTACAAAAGCTGCCTCTTCCTTAGTAGGAAAAGCTTTCAGAAGGCATGCAGTTCAGGGGGAAGCTCCAGGACAGCAGCTCTGCTCAAACATGTCCTCCCAGTGCCACCTTGGATCATAATAGCTTGATCCCTTTCTAGCCCTGGCAGCTAGGACACTAATTTTCCATCCTCACCTGTCCTCGTATTGTTTCAGCCCAGCTGCTGCTTAAAAAAAAAGGCCCTGGGGCAGGTACTGCTAGTTGTAGCTGCAAGCAGGCAAAGTTATTAAAGGCTTTGATAAATTCTTAGTGACGGGGATGACAGGCACAGTTGGAAAGTTGTTACACAAGTTTCAGGCCCTCGCTTCCTGGCTGGTTGGCTCTTTCGGAGCTGGATGGCCATTTTGATGGTGTGACACTTACTTTGTGCCCGTGTTAAATTTTGCATACGATTCACCAGCAAGCTGTGTAATGTGTGCAACTCATGGCAGGGGCCCCAAGTGACAGTATTCCTTAAAACCAGGCAACTAGACCCTTGGTCATGGAGAAGGAATAGAGAGCTGAGGTGATATGGACATGTACTTCCTGAATGCTGGGCATCCAATGCCCACTTGACAGCCTCAGTCCTGAGCTTCAATGCCAAAAGGAGGACTACGAAAGGCTGAGATGAGAATCAAGAGAGATGCTGAACTCATGGTGGATTCAAGATACAACCAGGTCCAAGAGGCCACTTGGAGAAGCCTCCCAAGATGAAGGATCCTTCCAGTGGGATGAAGTGGCTGTCTTCCCCACTTACCTGCGGTATCTCGGCCGGAAACGAGGGGCCGGAGCCCTCTCCACAGCCTGAGCTGGTTGTTGCTGCTGGTCTCCCTGGGGCTGGGTGGTATCTTTCATTTCTGCGCCTTCAGTGCTCTGAGGAAGAGAATGGGATATGGATTATTTTTGCTGCTGGTCCTGTATCCCCCAAAGAGCCCCTGCCCTGCTGCCATCTCAGGATACCTCCACCAGCTGGCCTTGAACACGAGGCTCCCGCATGAACCTCCGGCGGAAGAAAAATGGAGGTGGGCGCCGTCGCCGGGGCCGCTGCTGGGAGGTGCTGCCAGGCACTGCTCCCTCCACAGGGACCTCGGGGGTCCCATCTGCCCTGACGGCCTCCTGGGCTGGCAGCACTTGCTGCTGCAAGGCCTGCCGTGGCCTGGGGATGAAGCGACGGAAGCGACGGCGGTTGGGGGCATAGCGGCTGCCTTTGACAGGCACACCACCTGGCCCGGTGACATTGGCTGCTTCAGCACCCTGGAGGGGAGACATGAGCAGACATGGAAAAGCAAAGACAACCTCCTGAGGCCTTGCGATTTTCTCCTCTCTGCTCCTGCCACAAGTAAAATTAGTTGGAATTCCTACCTTCTCTCCTTCCACCACATCGAATTCCACTGTCTCCCCGTCCCCCACACTTCGAAGGAACTTCCGGGGGTTGTTTCTCTTGATTGCAGTCTGAAAGTGAGGACAAGAGGTCAGAAATCAGCTCTCCAAAAAGAGGGATGGACCAATTTGAACCTCCCTCCTGTCCTACCCTGGTCCCGACTAGGCCCCGCTCTGTACTGGGGAGGACTGGGAGCTCAGACATCTGGGTTCTGTTCCCACTCTGGGGTGGGAGTGGGAGCTACTGGGTGAGAGCAATTGGGAGTTGGATGCCTGATTCTCTCCAGCTCTGGGAGAGAAAAATGGAGGCTGGTGGGTTGCAGCAAGGGGCTGGGGTGGGGGGGTGGTCTGTGGACCCAGACAACTGGGTCTAACCAGTGTAGAGCTACAAGAAGTCATGGAGGCAGGTACTGCCTCAAGATTAAGACCTCCAAAAGCCACTGGTGGAGCAGGGTAGGGGACAGATCCAGCATCCATGGCTAGAGGGCCCTGTGGGTGCCCCCTCAGGTGGCTCTCATGGGCCTTACCTGATGCACAAAGACATCCTCTTTGGTATCGTTCCTGCAGGAAAGGAGAAAGCTCAGAGCAATCAAGGATGGGGAAGGGTGGGGGCTCTGTGCCTCTAAACAGGAGTCCAACATATCCTCTCTCAGAGCTCTCCAGCACTTTCTCCCCACTCTGTGGAGACAATTTCTTCTACCCTCCCTCACCCAAGCCTTGAGATCCCATTGGAAAGCTGAAGAGTCACCAGTTGGCCCAGCAAGGCCCCCAATACATGGCCTGAAGAGACCAGTTTCCCCACAACCCACC